TTTCTGTTAGAATTTAGCATCAATAGATTTAATAGATCTATTATATCTTCCACATATAGCGATAGACACTTGTTTCTTAAAATGTCAGAAAAAAATCAGCTTAATCTCTTAAAATTACAGTTAAAACTATATTAGTCTTAAAGTTAGTGAATCTCTTTAAAAAAGGTCAATATAATCGATAATATTTACACTCGTATTTTAAGGTTTCATCTTAAACTAATCTAATTTAATTAAGAGATAAGCAAAATCTAATTAGGATTGTTTCCGTCAAATATCTATAGTTATATAATTTTAAAAGAAGTAGTGTGTAATTTTCATAGTATCAATGAATAATATGTCTCAAGTTAAATTTATATGGAGAATAAATTTAAAATCTTGTTATTAATTTTTTAAAATAATTATTACATTTATTTATTTTTTTTAATTTTTCTATTCATGCGACTAATGGCTGTATGGTTATAGCTGGCAGATATAACTGACTTGAATCATGATGCTAACTATGATGATTTGCAATGGCCAAATAAGAAAACAAGGCGTTTTCATTGTGTCCCAAGGCAGCTATGATGAAGGGATAATAGTTTGTAAATGAAAAGAGTTTTTTTTTTTCTTTCTTAATGCAAATATCACTTTAATTTATTAGCTGAAAATAATAGCATACACATAAGATGCATTAGTGCAGAAAATATTTTTAAAATTAATTATTTTTTACTTTTAAAATCGATTAATTTTAAAGAATCGATTTTATAAGACTGAATTTTTAAAATTAGGTAACACTTGATTTTAAAATTTTAAAAACTTTGAAAATTGGTTATTACATAACTAATTTTAAAATTGACAAGAAAAAGTTTGAGGTTTGCATAAAAGGTGATCATTAATAGCTTGAATGTAGATAAAATCATTCTCTTATTATGTTGGAACAGTACCTTCAATGTCAATACAATAAAATTTTAGCTCACGGGAGTTATTGTGATTTAAAAAATCAAGAGAGAATTGAGTCAAGTTTGGTAATAAAAACACCAATTTTCTCCACACAAAGACGATTGTTAAAAGAATGAAAAATAAGGTGATAAGAATGGATCTTAATGGTATCTAGGGTACTATTGAGGATACTATTAAAAAGAAATCAATGATTTCCTCAAGAAACTCTTCTAGACACCTTCTATTTGTGATCCTACTTCTTTGGCTTTGAATAATATCCTTTGCTTTGAAGATGATTGTTTTCAACATCTCATCCAACCTATAACTATGGAGGAAGTAATAAAAGTAGTAAAAGTGGCAATTTTCTCTATGGACCCATATAAAGCTCCCGACCCAGATGACTTCAAACCAATTTTCTCTCATTCCTATTGGGATTCCCACGAAATATTAGATATGGTGGCCACTACTTTTAATTCTAGCTCTATTAATATTTATTTAACTAATACTTTTATTTTTCCTATTCCCAATATGGACAATGTAACATTGATATATAGCAATATCAAATCACTATCAAAAGTAAATTAAATTTTTCCTAAAAATTTATAATATAAAAAATAATTACACATTAAATTTGTATTTTATCATGTAATTAGGAAGGAGATTTTTAATATTTGAATAGTATTCAAACAAACAAAGAATTAGGAATCGAAAATTCAATCGGAGAAGTATTGATTCAAAGTTTCAATCCATACAATAAAATTTTCATAGTTCAACAACAAATTCAAATTACCAATCAACGGAATTCAACACAAACTTAATAAATAAATTAAAAAGTAGATCTAAATTTAGATCTATGAATTCCATCAAAACATGAAACGCAATCGCGATCTCACAATTTTAATAAAATTCAAGAATAGTAAACGATTGAATTAGGTGATTTAGTTTATTTTATGATTAAACCTAAATCTAAATTTAGATATAAAATTAATCTTCAATCTCTATTATAGATCCTAAACAAAATTCACAATCATGAAAAATGAAAGAAAAACCTAAAACAGAGAAGAAGAGAAATAGAGAATTTGTTTGGTAAAAAAATTGGGAACTTGAATTTTACTGTAGTTCTTGAAACTTAGAATTGATTAATGAACTAGTCACGCATCATAATCATGTTGTAGCAATCCAATTCGTGTAATCAAGAGAGAAAATCTGTGTGTGTGAGAGAGAGAGAGTGTGTGAATTTTGAGAGATTTCTAGGAGAAGTAACTCAATTTCTGAAGAAAAAAATGAGATATATCATATCAAGTATACATGTGTTACACTTATTTATAGACTACACTAATGAGCCTAATCTGAGTAATTAAAGGCTCAGTCCACTAAAGCAATCAAATTACATCACTAAACAAATCCTAACATTACAATTTAAAAAGAAAAAGAAAATATTGTACAGGATCACAACTTTACAATGCAATTTTGGGTCACTTAACTTCTTAATTAGTCTTTTCTTCCAACATAAAAGTTATAGAACTCTCGTATTTTTCCAGGGAGCTCTAGATATGGCTTGCACAAAAACCAATGTCAAAACAAGAAAAAAAAATGCGAAAATTAACTAAAATTTATGACCAAGACCATATGATTCACTAGAATAGATTAAAGCTAATATATTATAATATGATACTAATAAAAATTAAATTGTAATATTCTAAAACTTTGATACAATATTATAGATTTTCTTATCATTAAATAATATTTTTTAAATTTTTAGTTACCACATTTAAAATAAATATATAAAGATAGATGTTTTATTTTAATTATTATGATATATATATATATAAACTTAAAATTGTTAAAAAAATTTAAATTTTAATATAAGTAATTATATTAAATTTTTATACATATAAATATATTATGAATGGATAAAAAATTTAAAAAAAATCTGCAGCAGAAAAATCTCTACTACACAATTCTATCATCTTATCCTAATCTCTATCTCTAAGTAACTAAACATGTAATGGGTAATTCAAATGTAACTATTAGGGTTTATAATAACATTGATGTAACTTTTACTAAGTATTACACTGTTCAATAATTTTATATTAATTGTGAATTTTTTAAATCCAACCGTTAGATTAAAAGTTCATATCACTTTATATGTGTATATCAAAATTTGTTAAAATTGAACAACAACTTGAAGGTAATCAAAGTGTTCATATTTAGTATATTTTGAAATGAATATATTATGTTAATTTCGATTTATAAGAATAAAGTATCAAATCATCTTGGATTAATATAAAATTTTGTATATATAATTTAAGAGATATGAACTTTCAATCTAACAGTTGTATTTATAAAATTCACATTCAATATAAAGTTATTAAGCAATATAATACTTAATAAAAATTATTGATATTTTTTATGTCGACTTTGAAGGAAAGATGAGGTAGGAGAAAAAAACAACGACAAAAAAAAGAGTAAAGAAAAAATAGAAAGAAAGAGATGAAGAGAAAAGAGAAATATGAGAGAGAGAGAGAGAGAAGAGAAATAAGAAAAAGAAAAGAGATAAAAAAAACTACATAGAGAAGAAAGAAAAGAAATAGGAAGAGAGAGAGAAAGAGAAAGAAGGGGTAGAGAAAATAGAGTATGAGAGATAGAAGAGAGAGAGGAGTAAAAGAAAACATAAGAGATATGAGAGAGATAAATTATATATGAGATAAAAAAAAAGTATGAAGAATTTTTATTTTTATTTTTTAAAAGAATTTAAAATTATACTATTTTAAGGAATTTAACAATTGCTTAAATTTTAAATTCTTTATAAATTCTCCATTCAAATAAATATTTCACCCAAAGATTTAAAATTCTTAAAAAAAATTATTCAATTTTAATTTTTATCCAAAACACACTCAAAATACTTTCGATCTATCTTCCATTATAACAAATTTAAATTGTTTTCTTTCCATTAAATGGTTGTATAATTTTAATTGACATAATAATAAAATCTACTAAAATAAGACCTCAAATTTAAAAAATTATTAAACGTTACTTTAATATTAAAATATGTAACATTACGTTAAAATTACTAGAGTTGAACTATTTTTGAAAGGAAAACCAAGTTTTTTTTCCTTCAAATCTGTCATCTTTCGTCGACTTTAAAATTTCAATTTAAAATGGAATAAGGTTTGATTATTTTTTAAAATACAAAAGCTCCTAAAAGAATAACTATCACATGACTTCACTGGAAAATGAGAGAAAAACTGCAATCTCTCATCACAATCTTATCATCATAATAACCTTATGATAATTTCCTAGAATTGTGCAATCTCCCCCTCAGTTATTATTATGCCAAAATTATCTACTTACTTGTATAAATATTTATATTGTGTACATTGAAAATCAAGTTAAAATTATATTCACAAAACACATTCTGATTTCTATATCATTCTACAATAATATTGTATCAGAAATTTAAGATATTACAATAAAAAAATTTAAATTATATTATTTTATTAATTGGTTGTATAATTTTAATTTACATAATAATAAAGTCTACTAAAATAAGACCTCAAATTAAACAAAAAATATTATTTATTTTTTTTTGTTCGCTCCTGGAATATTCAGGGCAGATAAATGTGATTAATTTCTACACTATATTGGAGGCACCTTAAAAGGTGTGATAGCTAGCTCCAATATTTAACGCGGTTGCATACAAAGGCAGAATTCTAACTCCTGACCTTGTTTAAGCGTAGATCAATCCTTACTGCTGAATCACACGCTTAAAATTTAAAAGCAAAAATATATTAAAGAAGATTACGTTACGTTAATATTAAAATACGTAACATTACGTTAAAATTATTAGAGTTGAACTATTTTTGGAAGGTAAAACAAGTTTTTTTTTCCTTCTAATTTGTCATCTTTCGTTGACTTTAAGATTTCAATTTAAGATTCTCTTAAAGAGTTACAGTATTATTATTATTAATTAAACACGTTGTACTATTTTATTTTTAAGATATTTAAATTATGTGGACCGATTCTTCACGCAAAATAAGAATCATTATGATGATAAACCCAACAAGCACATAGATAAACAACATTCTAAGAGGAAAGTTTCGGAAGCTAAATATTTGTTTTTCCACATTCTCTGTTCTACTTCTTTCAGTCTTCTTGTTCACAGATCATGGAAGATTACATCTTCAAAGCCTTGACAATCTCTTTTGCTTTTATAGTTCTCTATGTGACCACAAAACTTTTGCAAAACTTTTGGTGGAGACCCAAAAGAATAGAGAAACTTCTTAGGCAGCAAGGGATCAGAGGCACTTCCTACAAGTTTTTCAAAGGTGACATGCCAGAGATGATGAAGTCTATCATAGAGACATCATCTAAACCTATGTCCCTCAACCACCACATAGTTCCTCATGTCATCCCATTTCTTCATCAAATGTTTCAGAAATATGGTGAGTCACTTCACAAATAAACAATTACAAATTATGTGAAGATATTTTTTTTAATCATGTTATTTGTGTCAAGTATGTTTCAGAAATATGGTGAGTGACTTTGTTGATGATGATTTTTGCATGTCAAGTTTTTAGTGAAGTCTCTTTTCTTAATCAAGTTTTTTTATTTATCCAAATTTAAGACCTTACTAAAAACAAAATTGAATCTAATTTCACTCAAACTCAACAACTTGTTAAGATATGGGACATATTTAATAATAGTATGATTATTTTAAAATACATATTTATGATTTTTTTGCTAGACATGTTATGGGTATAATTTATTCACCATTCTACTCAAACTCAAATCCTAAACTTTATTAAAGGGATTTGAACATGTTTCACTCAGACCAAGTCGTTAACTATTTATTTTAATATTATATACAGTTGAGATTTATTCTTTTCAAGCCCTTATCTTCCACCTGATAGAGTTATTGCGAATAAATATGTAGTTAGAAATCAAACACAAATAAAATACATGTAGTGGTATTTTGATGTGATAACTTGCTTTTGTGGATGATTTTTCATAGGAAAAATTTCACTCTTTTGGTTTGGAAGAACTCCATCTGTGCTAATAGGAGATGCAGAGCTTGTGAGGTTTATTTTGACAAATAAGAATGGTCACTTCATCAAGCCACCACAAAACCCCTTAGTCAAACATCTTCAGTTGGGCCTCTCATCGTTAGAAGGTGAAATCTGGAGCAAACGAAGAAGGTTAATAGCTTCTGCATTCCTTGTTGAGAAGCTAAAGGTAAAATAATTAATCACTTAATAATAATTTATTTATAGAGTTAATCACCTATAAATTATCAGTATAAAGTTTTTTTACACTAGCAACCAATCATATATTTTAATAGAGTCATGTTATTTACTTTTATTAGTGACATGACTCTATTAAAAGATATGATTGGTTGTTAGTGTAAAAAAACTATACTCTAGCAGTGTATAGATAATTAACTCTTATTTATATTATGTAAATCAAGGTATTCTTTAGTTGAAAAACTAATTTTTGAAATACTAAAATTTATTTAAAGAATTAACCTCTTTTAATAAATATTTTTTTTCATACACAACGATCAATGATCGGATACCTCAACCGATAAGTTATCTATCAATTATGTTACACCCTGTTCGTATTTAATATTAATTTCTTCTTTTAAAAACTAGGGAATGGTTCCAGCAATTTCAAGGAGTTGTTGCATGCTGATAGAGAGGTGGCAGGAACTAGCAAAAGATGAAAGATCATGTGAGTTTGATGTTTTACCTGAATTGAGTGTTTTGAGTGGTGATGTTATTGCTAGAACAGCCTTCGGAAGCAGCTACCAAGAGGGAAAAAAGGTTTTTGAACTGCAGCATGAACAAATATCATTGGTTCGAGAGGCATACTGGGGTACCTATATTCCTGGTTTCAGGTGCAATGATATAATTATATTATTAATTCAGTAATTATACAAAACATAACATTTAATTGCTAACATCCTTTCTCGTATGAAAAATGGGAACATCAACGTTAATAAGTTCAACTAATGTAACCTAAAAAATTTTAGTTTAAGTTTTGGGTTTAAAAAAAAAAAATTAAAGTATAGTTTTAATGTAGTTTCGAGAGGGATTAATTTCTAACGAAATCAATAGATACCAATAGCATGTAAAATATATATATATATATATATATATA